TGAAACATTTAATTTCGTTTTTGTTGTTTCTTTATTTAATTTACTTATTTGCTATTTACTGTGTTTGTTTGGTGCTTAGTTCATTTTAATATATTGAACCCTGTGATTGGGTACTTGTGCTCATTGTGTCTTTTTCTGCTCAGGGTCTGGTCCTGTCGTGGCTTCTCATGGTGGGGGATTTGGTGATAGTTACCAACTGCTGCACCATCACTCCTTTTGAATGTAGGGCTGAAACAACTAATCGATTAATCGACGACTAATCGATTATTGAAATAGTTGACAACTATTTTAGTAATCGATTAATCGTTTTCTGATTCACACGGACTCAAACAGAGCAAAAATGACATGAAAATGTAGTATTTTTGATTAAAACCGACTTTGTTTTTATAATTTCATGAATATCTGTCTGTCTCATCCAATCAGATAGCAGAATTAGCACAAAGAGCCTGTTACAAACATTTACTTTAAGTTTACGCCATCAATACGTCCTTGAGTGTTGCCACTTTAGCTTTTTGTGATGAAAAAATATTTTTTTTCTACACAATTCACAGCCAAGCGATTACTCGATTAATCGTAAAAAATAATCGATAGATTAATTTATTACAAAATAATTGTTAGTTGCAGCTCTATTTGAATGCCGTGGTATTTTGCACCTCCCTTCACCACTTGTACATTTTCAGTTTGCCTCTTTTCTTGATTTGGTGTGTGTATGAATGTGTGGCACGGAGCGTAGTGAGTGCTCTATTCCAGCCCCTTAGTCCTCCATCGTGTACGGCCGCTACTGGCCAGCCCTGAGTGTTGCTTTCTTTCTTTCTGGTTAGCATTGGAGCACATATTTAGGCCGAGCCAATACTTTGTATTGGGGAGGCCTATTGTTATTCACCGGTTTCATATTATTATACTTTTCCTTATTTTTTTTCCGCAACTTCAATTCGATTTTTGACCCTGAAGACATGCACGAAAGTCTGCACATGGGGGGTCTAAAACGACCGGTTCGGCGAAACATTTGATAAAATGAACGTTTCCAGATTGTCCGACGCTCGCCGACTCTATAACGCCCCCTAGAAATTTCATTTTTTTTGACCCTCTGGGGATTTTTTTTCAAATTTTGGAGTAGGTACACGAAATTCGGATGAGTGATAGATCTCTATGAGACGAGCATAAAAGCCGTTCTAAGCACATGTCTGGGACCAACAGGAAGTCGGCCATGAGGGGCCGAAGTTTCGCCACTAATTTGACTTTTCATTTATAAATTCGAACTAGTCCCTGGTTTTTCATCACACAGAGTTCTACCACGTCATTTCCCGCTCTGGACGGATTGAAGTTATATAATCATCAAAAAAAAGTTAGAAAATCTTCACCGTTTTCGTCCCTCGCCATGGCGAATAAGGCCTTCGTTTTGGCCATTTTCGCTGAGCCCTGAGGGCCACAAGCTCAGACCTACAGAGCTGAGACTCACATCAGTAATATTAGGTTATGGCCTGAACGCAATGACACTAAAATCATTCGCCCAATTCGAGCTCTTTAGCGCCACCTGTCGGAAAGTAATAGGGCACTAGTGCTCGGATCGGCCCGAAAATTGCTGAGTATAGTGTCTGGACCGAGACGAGCAAAAAATGGCATTACGCAAAAGTTGTAAGTCCCACACCTGACCACCGGGGGCGCCGGAAAGTGAATGAATGAGCTCTTTTGGGGCAAAATGTTTGTCCGATGAGGCTAAAAATGAATTCAGAAATACAGCGTATGACCCTGAACACCACGATATGCAACACACAACTGTGAGTGCAACAGCGCCACCTACAGGCAGTTCAAGGTGTCGCATGTTTGGCTTCGTACTAGTCCCTGGATTTTCATCGCACAGACTTCTACCATGTCATTTCCTAATCTGGATGGATTGAAGTTATATAATCATCGCGAAAAAGTTAGAAAATCTTCACCGTTTTTGTGCAAGTAAGCAGTTTATTTCATATAGTAATATTACACTCAGAGCTACAATGCCCGACCTGACCACCAGGGGCGCACCTCTTGCCTTAATACAAATGATAGTGAAACAGGCTGCTGAGTCATCCTACTGATTGTATTGTATTGTATGTACTTTATTTGAACAGGGACAGTGTAACAAAAGGAGAGATGCATGTACCAGGTTATAGCAAAGCTAATTTCCACCTGTAGTCCCTGGGCAGGCTGGTGTTATGTTCATTTAAACTGACTACTATGTAGATGGATACATGACTGTGTCTTACATTTACAGGCTTTAAATAACATAATTCACAAAACATTAAGTTTAAAAACAATAAATAAAGCTCCCCAACTTCTACTAGAATATTACCCTCACTCACTCACTCACTCACTCAATCACTCGTGCGTGCAAACTTGCTTTTTCAGAAGCCATTTCTTAGTCAGCCAAGAAAATGTTTTAAATGTAGTACATGCAATGATCTCTGTGGGCAGTGTGTTCCACTGACTCATGGCCGTCACAGAAAAAGCAGATTTAGCAAAAGTTGTTTTACATTTTTTGACGCTGCATTCTCCTCTAGAAGTGGATCGAGTGGTTCTGGTCATTTTGTCTGCACTCAATTAAACACATTTTCTTAGAGGAGGTGCACTAACACCATGGATGATTTTAAACAGCAAACAAACATTAGGTTTTCAAAGTTGAGAAAGTCATATTTAGAGAGGATGGGACAGTGATGGTACCGCCTGGACTTCTTATCATGTATCTTAAGGGCACACTCGACTCGAGAGGTCCCAGAGTGGTTTTACAGCCCTGAGACCAGCTCGAGACACAGTATGTGACAGGATCATGGAGTTCAGATACAGATGGGACGCCTCAGTGGTGAGTGACCCCCGAATGTATCTGAAGTTGGCCAAATTAAACTTAAGAGTGTAACGGAGTTTCTATACATGATGTTTGAAGGTCAGGTTTCGATCCAGGGTCACTCCTAAATATGAGAATACATCAACATTTTTAATTTTACTGCCATTAATAAAAATATTTGGACAACTGATATGCTTACCTCGGTTTGTAAAATACATTGAAACGGTTTTGTCTGTGTTTGATGTCAGTTTTGACACAGCCAGTCAGCAACATTTAGCATTTCGTTAATTTTGTGGTACACTGAAAACCTAAGACCCTATAAATTGACATGGTGAGCTTTAGTGTAGTGTAGTGGTTAAAGCTCTCGACTGGGACTTTGCTAACTGGGGTTTGATTCCTAGGGTCAAGCTCTACTGTTTTTGGGTTAGTTTGATGAAGACTGTTTTATGCTCAGTTTAAAATTATTACTAGGGCCGGGACGCGATAAAAAAAAAAAAAAAAAAAAAATTAGAGGCTTTGTAATTAATTAATCTCGATAAATCGCATTTCAGTCGCATATAAATATTTGACCTGAGAACAGCGAGAAGTAATTTTTTTCACATGGATCTTTAGTTTACCATTGATTAAGGGCTGCTCCTACTCCGCGTCCTCCTTCTCCGTTCACACTAGTGATGTGCTGAGCGTGCCGGGTCTTCGAAGCGTGTACCGAGTAAAAAAGGGGCGTATTTTTTGAAGCGTGGTTCGAGGCGTGTGTTGGTGACATTCGAAGCCTCGCGTAGCGGCCGCACCACGTCACGGTTCATATAGTGCTTCATATAATTCGGAGAGTGCATTGCTTTGACAGGTGCTTTGTGATCCGCGGCTGTACCATAGACTGTATTGGCTGTCCCCGTCTGCCTCTGTGTGCGTACGTGTGTGTGCGTGATGTGGAGCAGTCCTGTACTAAGTATAGAGAAACTACTTCATATGAAATACAATTAAAAACGTTTCACTTTAGTAAATCCTCATATATCAAGGCTTCAAGTTAGTACTAATAATACAATGGATGATACATCTCACAACAACTGTGTGGCGCAGTCGGTATATGACGGACTCCGAAGCAGAAGATACATCGTTTGAGTCCCGGTCTACCCATAATAATTTTTGTGTTGCAAAGTAAATGTATTTATTTATTGGGAATAAATGGTTTGTTGTGTTTAATTAATCCACCTCTTGGTAGTTTTTCCTCAATTAATCACTTTCTGTAGAACTGTATTACTTTGGATGTGTTTGTTGTATCAACACAATTGACTGAAAGACTCAAATAGTTCATAGTTCATGAAGCATCATTTCAAACACGTTTCAAAGTCCTACACCTTTCACATGGTGTGAAAACACACACCGAATATGACTCTACAGCGCCACCTATGGAAGGCTTCTGACCTAAACTTTTTCGATCTTCACCAAAGTTGCAAAATCAAATCTTGACATCTGTACGTGCAAAATACTACTCTACGTAGAGGGTGCATGTCCCGGAGGTGACCACTAGGGACGCACTTTTTCATATTAATGAACTTTTATATACATAATCCTGGTCAGATTGGGCTGCCAATTTGTCGGCGTGACGCTTGTGGGACTGGCACCCAGGAGGCGGTTGCAAGAGGGGCTAGGCCTTTCATCGCCGCTTGCGGCTTTAATTTATAATTGATATTTTTAATGATTACATTTAATACAATGAAATAAAAACATATATTTTCCTATTTCTTAGGTCTCATTTTCCAAATAAATTGCTCAAAATTGTATAATTTGTGTCTGGTCAATTACTTGTTGCATCCCACCATTATACCAGGGCCCTGCGGTCACATATACTTAAATTTTGAAAATGAAATCTGCCTCTTTGGGGCATTCTCTTTGTTTTGAACACTTTTTACCATCAAACTGTATCTCAATTTTGGCAAAGTTCTATGATTAAAAAAAACACGGGTTAAACAATAATAATAATTTGTCATTCGTGTCCTACATCTTAGAAAATCCCAAAAATAAAAAATACATTGCTTTCTTCCAGGAGTGAACATTAAAGGGTTAAGGATGACACAACCAGCCACAATATTAATACAACTAATGATAACTCTTCACTGTTGGATTACTGTGGATAGTTCAGAAACAGTTAAGTCACATATTCATCATCACAGAGTTCACTCACCAGCCCAGTGTGTCCGCTTGTGTGTCTGCTTGTGTGTCCTCTGCAGTGTGACTATGTGAGGTGTGTGTGTTTTAGGCAGCAGCACTGAGTAGACCGCCCCCGTAGCCCAGAGGGGCGAGGTCTAAACCGCTGTGGGCTGGACAACCTACAGCTATGCTCTGGTCAAATTTACCCACCACAGTGATTCATTCACTTGTCATTTATACCCTTATTGACTCAAATTTGGATAGTTTTCTTTTACTTTTGATAATCTGTAATTTTGACCCAAGGGTAGCACAAGGGATAAAAAACTTTATTGATATATTTTTGTGTATATGTTATTCCTATGTACAGTGGGGCAAAAAAGTGTTTATATACTATATATACTGTCTACATGAGTGTGGTGGATTCTTCTGCCACCGCTTGACACTGTTCGTTTTTTCTGTTACTTCACTTTAGACTTAGACTTTATTGATCCACAAGGGAAATTGCGTTGTCAGAGTAGCTTGCATCAAAATCAGAATCAGAATCATTTTTATTGCCGTGTAACAATACATCTATTTAACCGATGTATCGATCCAGCTACATTGATCGGCGCTCAGCTATTTGGCCTCGATCCTAGCCGCACATCGACACTACATCGTTTTAAATGGAAAAATTGTGATTGTATCGATATACATAGTTCCCACAGACCAATGAATGTCACATGACCTCCTCGGAGACGCCATCTTTGATGGCACGCTGCTGTGTTTGTGCATTCCATTAAACAGAAGAATGAGAATAAATGTAGATATTCAAACGCAAATTGGAAAAAAAGGGCAACTTTTGAGCAAATAATTGTATATTAATACAATGGCACCACAGTTTAACGTGCTACGGACATGTTTTACATATTTGATCAAATTATGCAGCAAAAATTAACAAGCAATGCAAACATTTCTCAAAAACTTTAGATTTAATACCAGTTGGAGCTCCAGTTAATTATTTTAATTATATTAACAATTAATTTAATTAATGCTAATGCCACACGGACACTCTGGATTGCTGTTATTGTTTATTTCCGCGTTTTTGACCGTATGTTTTGGTGAATGGTGGGCAACTGATTTTTCCAGGCGTAAAGAGCAGTTTATTTTATGACACAGATCTTTTTACAGAAGCAATGCTGTTTGTGAACATTGTTTTAGCCCACCATAGAACTATTATTATCTATTTAATACATTTACGTTGCCCTCGAGAGCCTCGGACGCGACACCGATCCTCCTCATAATAAAGTAATCTAACGCTAAATAATGAAACTCTCAAGTTACCAGCTATCAGCATACACAAGTTAGTACTGAGTAAATTACGTCTGTCAACACATTATAAGATACGATACGCACCTGACACAAAGTGCTCCGAGCATATTCTTGCGTGTTTTGAGAGAGTTTCTTGCCTGTTTATCTTCGCAAGCCATAACCTCCGTGGTTGTTCTGACAAAAGCTTAGTCTTCTCACATTCATGAAGTCTAATGATGGGTATACTGTAAAATCCAAGTTTAACGGAACCTCCGGCACGATTTGAACATCCATTGACCCAGCAGGAGATGACCATTTTCAACTTTATCACGACATTAACACGTTTCAGCTTCTTTTTCTATTGTTTTGCCCACAGCATGCCAACACAAATGGCGCCGGGTCGGCAAATCCCCGTATGTAGTGACGTCATGTAGGAACTATGTATAGTTCTTACATGAAATCATAGTCACAACGTGCAATGGAATTCAATTGAAAATATTTTAGTTAATTTTAAACACTTTTAAACGGGTGGTGCTGTAAAACATTGGTTAAGCACTGCATTGTTATACATCTGTTTTATTATTTTTTATTCATGTGAGATATTTATAAGTTAGCTCTTGGGCAAAATAAATGCTTGTGTTAAATTTGTAAAAAAGTTGTATTTCTTGTTCAGCACTTTAAATCTGAGTTAGATATCTAAGTTTGATTTACTGTGAAAAGTTTATTTACAGAAAAAGCCAATATTAATGTATCGATGTATTGTTCAAAATCTACTGTATCGTATCGAATTGTATCGTTTTAAAAATTATCGTTTTTTATCAAAATCTTTTGCTCTCATATCGATACAGATCGTATCGTTCTAAAAACGTATCGTTACACCCCTACCACGTACTGTAAGTAACATGAAGTCACATACTTGAAAATTGCTTTGGCTCGGTGCATCAGTCAGAAAGAGAGGTAAGGGTAAACAGCAGAGGGGAAGAAACTTTTCTTGTGGCGGGAGGTTCTAGTCCTGATGGACCGTAGCCTCCTGCCTGAGGGGAGTGGTTGGAATAGTCTGTGTGCAGGGTGAGAGGGGTTGGCTGTGATACGACCAGCCAGAGCTTGGGCGACGTACAGGTCCTGTAGCGATGGGAGGCTGCGGCCAATCACCTTCTCTGCAGAGCGCGCAGCTGTAGCCTCTGCTTGGCCCTGACTGTGCCTCCAGCGAACCACACGGTGATGGAGGAGGTGAGGATGGACTCGATGATGGCCGTGTAGAACTGCACCAACATCTGTGCAGGCAGCTTGGCTTTCATGAGCTGCCACAGGAAGTACATCCTCTGCTGGGCCTTCTTGATGAGGGAGCTGATGGTCGGCTCCCACTTGAGGTCCTGGGTGATGGTGGTGCCCAGGAAACGAAAGGACTGCAGAGGTGATGGGGGAGTCCATCAGGGAGGGGGGACAGAGGTGTTGGGGGAGTCCATCAGGAAGGGTAGGAGGGGGGACTTCCTGAAGTCCACAATCATCCCTAGGTTGTTACCACTGCACCAGGACACCAGCTGGCCCACCTCCCTCCTTTAGGCGGACTCATCGTTGTTGGCGATGAGTCCAATGAGGGGGGTGTTGTCCGCAAACTTGATCAGCTTCACGGAGTCGTGGCTGGAGGTGCAGTGGTTGGTGTACAGGGAGAAGAGCAGGGGAGAAAGAACACAGCCCTGTGGGGCTCCTGTATTTATAATTTGAGAGTCCGAGATATTCTTCCCCAGACGCACTCGCTGCTTCCTGTCCGTGAGGAAGTCAGTGATCCACCTGCAGGTGGAATCGGGCACGTTGAGCTGGGAGAGCTTGTCCTGGAGCAGGGATGGCAGGATTGAGTTGAAGGCAGAGCTGTAGTCCACGAACAGGACCCTGGCGTTGGTCCCCGGGGAATCCAGGTGCTGTAGGATGTGGTGGAGGGCCAGGTTGATGGCGTCGGGGTACAGGAGGCTGGGGGAGGTGTCCGGGGCGGCAGCGGCGGCGGCGGCAGAAGAAGAAGAAGAAGGAGAAAGAAGAAGAAGCGATGTTGTTAGCTAAGCCGTAGCACCAACTGGAAACCACTCCCCCCTCCCCTCGCCTCTCCACCAAACCAAACATCCAGCATTTTCTTTTCTTTGTCACAACAGGGAGAGTGGGAGGCAAATGTGAAATTGGCATTTTCTGTTTAGCCATTTTAGGTTCTAGAAAATCCGAAAACTCTGGTGCACTCACGAGAAACAGGAAGAGGGTGAAGGGGGTAGATGCATCCCATTGGTTCGTTGGGGATGAACTAATCCCATTGGTTTATTTTTATCGGCCCGCTCTAAATTATGTGTTATTCGTTTTTGTAAACTACAGGCATCTGGTCAATTCAAATCAAAAATCACTGACTGCATCTTTAACTTTGAGATGATTTTACACCTGTGTCTTGCCTTTTCTTTTGTCCATTACATTGGACAAAAGAAAAGAAAACTTTCTGACTGGAAAGTTTAATACCTTCCACACACAGAAGCGTATCAGTGTTTGGGCACAGAATCCTTTGTCGGGGACAGGAGGAGACCCGACTGGGGCTTGGGCCGTAAAATAAAGGATTTATTTTAAATTTTCTTTTTTAGCAAAAACAATATGGTAAAGCCAGTGTCAGTGCGTTTTTCCTTTCAAAATTGTGTGTGTGTGTGTGCGCTTCCCTTATCCTCATCCACATCCGGGACAGGCGTGACTTTTATGACCTGTTCTTTGCTTTTGCAAAGAACAGTTTCAGCTTCAGAAATGACACTGCAGTTTCAGCTTCAGAAATGACACTGCAGTAGATTCATGTTCATTATTCACCACTTCACTGAAAAGCCTCTGACTCCTGTCTTTGTCCTATGTTGACATAAAACTCCAGCTTTTAACATTAAAATGTTCTTTTTGTTATGACAAAATCTTGTGAACAGTTTTGGAGTCTACAATTTTGTAGTGGTGCGGTCATATATACTTTTGTACAGTAACTCAGTTATGTAATATTACTATTTACAATCAGAGTACAATACAATACAATACAATACAATTTATTCTTGTATCAATCAATCAATCAATCAACGTTTATTTGTATAGCGCCTTTCCTACAAAAGGCAACGCAAAGCGCTTCACATCCCCTATCACATCATGCATAAATCAAACACATTAAGAGCACAAGATATATTAAAAACATTAAAAATAATGTATAGCCCTACAGTAAGTCACAACTGAAGTCATCTCAGAGGACTTCACAAAACCATTGAAATCACCAACACAGGTCAGAGAATCAACAGTTAAAACACATGAAAAATATAAAGCACACACAGAAGAAAATGTCCATACATGTTGTAGAATGTTAAAGTGTCCTGATCTTAACTTCCACAGCTATGCAGATGATACACAGCTGTACATCTCCATGTCTCCTTACGACACCAGGCCAATGGATGCTCTTTTTAACTGCATTTTAGACCTTTCTCCAGCTCAACCAGGATCAAAACTGAGGTTTTAGTCATCGGTCCTGAGGCCCAGAGAGTTCTTTTTAATGGTTTTTAATATGTCTTAAGGTCTTGGGCCTTTTATCTTGCAGATTTGCTTTTATCCTCTGAACCTTTCCCGGGCCCCTGCGCTCCTCCGGCAGGAGGACTTCTACCGCCCACCCAACGTCAGGACACACACTCACGGCGAGGCATCTTTCCAGCACTTTCCTGGCCCCCCGTCTCTGGAACAGTCCTGCCGGAGGAGCTCAGGGCGCAGAGAACATTTCATATTTTCTAAAAAGCAGGCTCAAGAC